TGGCAAAAAAATTACTTGAAAAAATATATATTTTAAAAAAAATTAATTGAAAAAAAAATTGTTAGTCAAATTTTTAAATTTTTGTTTAAAAACAAACGTACACTCAAAAAATGAGCTTACGTTTTTCCTCAAATTTATAAACTGAGACAACCATTTATAAATCAAAAAAATTATCAAACAAGTTTTTATGATAATTTTTAAAATTTTTATAAATATAAACTGCAAACGAAATAATTATCAAACAAACCCTATATATCTCAAATTTTCTATTAAATAAATGACTAAATATCTTAAATGAATATATCACATACTTTAGTGAGACATTTAGTCATTTATTTAATAAAAAACTTGATATCTTATCCAAGTGAGATATTTAATCATTTGTTTACTAAAAAAAATTGATATCCCTATCATTAACTGTCTATATATGTATACGGTGTTTACGCGTGATGTGCATCATCATCAGTGCATCATCATCAGTGCAATAAACACCCACCCCCCAAGCAAGGTCACTCCGAAAACTGAAAGGAACAATTCAATACAAAACTCTTCAAACCCGATTCGAGCCAAACCACTTACATCCCCAACCCTAAGTACAAAGGGGGTGAGTACATGGTCCCCCACCAGTAGCAACATTCATTATTAGGTAAAAATAGGGGTACAACTTTGAAGGCAAACTAATCCCAACCCTCATACCGATTTTCTCATTGTGCGTGTAAGAAAAGTCCAAACACAGCTGTTTCCTCAGTGGCGACTCCAGGAATTTTTATCAGTGGTGTCAATCAAAATCTTAAATACCATATATCTTACAGAAAATTTACATTAATCATTATATCACATATGGAGAAAAAAATCAACAAATTAATTTAAATTCTAAAATTATAAACAAAAATATTTTAATATATTGATACTATTATTTAAGCAAAAAGACATGCTAATACACGAACTTCTACAATTGACCACGACGAGATTTCATATTTTGAAATCGTTGCATAATAAGCTCATTATCAACACTATCAAATAGTGGGTTCAAAAGAATAGGATTTAAAACTATGGGTTCAAAGTTGTATTTTAGTGAGTTCAATTACTAATTTTTTTCCTAAAATCTAATATTTATATAATAATAATAATAATAATAATAATAATAAATCAATTAGGAGATTCAAGTGACACCTCTGGCTAAGCCTTAGAGCCGCCCCTGCCTCCATATGCTACACAAGACATGAGTGGTTTTTCAACACCTACTCACAAAAATAATTTTAAAAACTAAATCAATGTACTATATTTGGCCCACTTCTTATTAACATTAAATCTATACCACATATCATTTTTAGATAATTTTTCATGACTTTTAACATTTAATTTTTCTTTTCTTTTTTTTTAAAATCATAGCTCACAACTTCGTCGTACAATCGCAACCATGACAAAACATCAAAGGATGTGAAGTCAGGGTAGAAGATGACCATGTGATCACATGGTGGGACCACTGTATGGAGGCTGGTACTAATTCACATGAAAGTTTCCTTCGATCCAATCACTCCAGTTAGTTATGTCTCCCAATTTCATATTTTTATTGTTTACTTGGGATAAAACCAAAGGTCTGACTGATTATCAAACTTACAGTTGGGCGTGCGTGCGCAAGTGAGCCTATTTGGGCCTTTCCAAAATGATTTTGGATACAATTGGGCTTTCTAATTGTTTGTCGGGCTTCGAACTCATATGGGCTTTCTTTGATAAAAAAAAAAAAAGCGCCCCAAAATCCATCCTAAGGGTACTGCAAGATTTTGTGATGGTTAACGAACGATTAAAAATAGGGTAATTTACCAGTCGGTCCTGCTTTTTTGAGTTATTATCTATTAGGTATTGTCTCATATTTTTATGCACCATTAAGTTTTATCATAATTTTTTTTCTCATTTTCACCCCTATTTTTATTTTATTTTTGTTTCTTCTAATTTCCCGTTTTGTTTTTGAACTCCAAATTGCGAATCACGATTTGGCCACCAACCACCACTTCCGATAGCCAGCAACCATCTCTAACCTTCCACACCCATTATTAACCTCCGGCAACTGCCTCTGACCTCCAACAATATTTTTTTTGGCCATTGTCCATCTCCAGTGGCAATGAGAGAAAAAGAGAAGGAAAAAAATGAAGAGAATGAAGAAAAGAGATGATAAGTCATTACTAGAGAAAAATTCTTATCATTTTACGCTGTCACAAATCAAGACAAAAAATCAAAAGTCAAATTCAATTATAAATTTATCATTCAACAAATGCCAGAGTTGCAATGATAAATTTATCAATGTTGAATATGTTAAAAAATTTACAAATAACAAACTTGATTTGAGAGAGAGGGGGGCATCATAACATTCTATTATGAAGCATTAATAAATTTATTTATTTTGTATGTGCTATGTCATTCCATTAATAAAATATCTACGCTAACACCTACAAATCTATAATCTGATAAATTTATCATTCATAAATTACTGAGTGATAAATTTATCGCTGAATTAAATAACAAATTTATCAGATCAGTTACACGTCTGTAGAAGATCAACAACACATTTCAATGCACCAATTGGATATTTTGCTTCCCAGCCCTATGATAAAGGAAGATGGTGGCAACAACGATGTTGAAGATGGTAGATCACTGATGGAGGATTGCGATGTTGAAGCTAGCAGATGAATGATGGAAAAGGAGCAGCGGTGATGGCAACGAGAGAGAATAACAGTGGTGTTAGGCGAGGGAGGAGGAGAACAACAACGTTGGTTAAGGCAAGTGTTGTTGACAATGATAGATGAAGATGGTGGTTGAGCTGAACGACATATATAGTGATGGAGGAGGAGGAGATGGTGTGTCCGTGACTGAAATAGGAGAGAGAGAGAGAGAGAGAGAGAGAGAGATGTGTTTGAGTTTAGGGTAAAATCACTCAACTAAATGTAAAAGATAAAAATGGAAGATTGACTAAATTATTTTGGGTCAAGACTTTTTGGGAATTAAGTCCAGTCCAAAAGACCGACCCGCAACTCTCTCCTAAAATATATATATATGTGCCTTGTCTGGCAAAAACTATTTTTTTACTTTTTGGGCTAAAATTTACTAAAAAGACGAAATAGATTAAAATAGTTAATAAGACTAAATGTTAACATTAAATTCGTAATTATTTTACTTTTTCTCTCACGAACATCACATTCAATTATAAAAAAAAATCTAATCATCTTCCTAAATACAAAATTTTACCTTACTAAAATAGTCAAAAACTAAAATAATTTTACTAAAATAACAACTTCACAAATACCCACATATAAAATAAAAAAAAAAAAATCTGATGCTGACAGAACGTGTAATGGTAAGTTTAGTGAAGCACCGTTTGAGAAGAAGGTTTCTAGGTTTTTTTGGTTATTTTAGTCACAAAAAATAAAATAGACTATTTTAGCCACAATTCAATTATAAAAAAAATCTAATCATCTTCCCAAATACAAAATTTTACCTTACTAAAATAGTCAAAAACTAAAATAGTTTTACTAAAATAACTTCACAAATACTCACATATAAAATAAAAAAAAAAATCTGATGCTGACAGAACGTGTAATGGTGGCCTTGGGCTTTAGTAAGTTTAGTGAAGCACCGTTTGAGAAGAAGGTTTCTAGGTTTTTTTGGTTATTTTAGTCACAAAAAATAAAATAGACTATTTTAGCCACAACAAACAAAACATCACATCCAACTCATAATCATTGCACTTTTGTTTCACAAAAAAAGTTAAAATTTTTTTCCTAAACTAAGCTTTTTAACTCGGACTAAAATAATCAAAATAATCAAAAAATTAAAAAATCAATCTACTTTCCAAACAGAGGCTGATGCAAAAAATATATGGGCTAAGTCCATAGTACCAATTCAGAAAGGCAGATGGGGATGGCAGGTGATGTTTTGCTTGTGGTAACGCTCTCAACATTCGATAAGCATAAATTAGGTCTATGGATCAGTAACTGTCGTATGTAATTCAATGAGCAATCTCAATTATGGTAAGAACCATGATTGACAATATTGTTAAGTCACCGTTTGAAAAGTGATTTTGTGAATTTTTTTGATTACTTTAACGATAAAAAATAAAATATATTATTTTAATCACAACAAACAAAATATCACATTCAATTCATAATCATTATTCAAAATCAAAAAAGCTAAAAAATTCTTTCCAAACTGAAGGATTGTTTGAGATGACCTAAATAAATATATTTTTTGTCTTTTTACGAAAAGATGTACAAAAAAATAGAGAGATGATGTGATGAAAAAAAAATAAAAAAATAAAAAGATAAATTATTTTGTATATGCCAAACTTAGCCTAAACTTTTTAACCCAAACTAAAATAGCCAAAAAAACCAACAAGTAAAAAAATCAACCCACTTCCCAAACCAACCCTAAGTTAGCAAAGCACAAGACGTTACACTTAAATCTATTTGTAATTTTTTGTTGACAGGTAACACCATATGTAACCGTCACATTATTTTTCTCTGATCGGGGTTTGGCAAATATGCAATGCAACCCAACAAAATAAAATCAAACGAAAATATGGAAAATATAACTGCTCAGAGTCTGCATGAATTAAAACTATATATGGAAGCCACAAACTATGGGAAATTATGGAAGAAAATAATAAATTTTACTGTTTGGATTTTACGGCATATCCATCATAAACCATAACTTCCCAAATCCAGGTCAGGCTTTGGTTCATCACAGATGCCCTGGCTTAGCAGCTGGTTTCAAGATCCAACAATTGCTACAGCCATATAATAAATCTCTTAAACACATGCACGAATCAAACACACTTACATGGGAATTACACCTATATCAATCTCAAAATCACTATTTTGTCCCGAAAAAACAAAAACAGACCAGTTAAAAAGAAACTAAACCCCATACCAACACACAGGTAGGTACAAAAAAAAAAAAAAACCCCAAAAGTTTTTTTAGTTCTTATTCAAGAAAACCAGAGAACATTTTTACAGAAAACGAAATAAGGTGTGTTCAAATAATTGCCCGAGTTTTAAAATCAGTATAAAGAAGTTGCAATACAGAATCAGTGTCTAATATTAAAAGCAAGTTGTTTGATAACAAATGTGAAACAAGGATCATCATTTAAGCACGTTCACCGCGAATTCGCCTGGCGAGTTGGATATCCTTGGGCATGATAGTAACCCTTTTGGCATGGATAGCGCACAAGTTGGTGTCCTCAAACAGACCCACCAGGTAGGCTTCTGCAGCCTCCTGAAGCGCCAGAACCGCATGACTCTGGAACCTCAAGTCAGTCTGCTCCAAATAAAAAATAATAATAATAAATTAAATAAATAAATTAGCATCATAAATATGTATGAGTTGAAATTGAAAGTAAGATTACGCCAACAATGGCACCAAATCAGTGAAATAGATCGAACAATACCTTGAAGTCTTGAGCAATTTCACGAACAAGGCGTTGAAAAGGTAACTTGCGAATAAGAAGTTCGGTGCTCTTCTGATACTTTCGGATTTCACTGATCAAAATAAGAGATGTTATGATCAATTAGGGTTTGGTGATGCAACATAGTGAACAAATGGATTATGAGCTAGCTAATTTAAGGGAGGAGCCATTACCGAAGGGCAACAGTCCCAGGGCGGTAACGATGGGGCTTCTTGACTCCACCAGTGGTTGGGGCTGATTTCCTTGCAGCCTTTACGGAAACAATCACAGAAAATACGATGCGAAATCATAATCAAATTCACAAGACCCAAAAAAAATACTAATAAAAGTTTGAAAGAATTTCATAGTTAATTTCTTCTTTCTTGCAGTTTCTCGGCAACCAAACGGAAATAAAAATCGGAATAGAAAGACGAACAGACATTCATAATGGAATCAAAGCCAGGAATTCATACCTTGGTGGCGAGCTGCTTCCTGGGAGCCTTTCCACCAGTAGACTTGCGAGCAGTTTGCTTCGTACGAGCCATTGGGATCTCAGATTAAGAGAAACAAGAACGCTCAAAACTCTGCAAAATCACGGAACAGAAGAGAGATCACGATCAGATCTGTGTGGTATGAATCGACGAAGAAATTAATACGACGAAGAAGAAGACGATCGCGACCGAGAGAGAGAGAGAGTCGGCGAGAGCAATTAGGGTTTGGATTCTGTGAAGATGGAGGTGTACACGAAAGAAAGGGTTCGATATATAGAGAGAGAGAGAGAGAGAGAGAGAGAGAGAATATCGTTAGGTCGGTTTAGGGGTTGGAAATTACGTCTGCAACGGCTTTGTAGAGAGAGAAAGGGTTTGAATGGCCTGGATCCAAGTTCTTCTCAAGATTGGTCCATCTGTACGAATAGAAGTACGTCATTGGCTGTTTTTGTTTCACGAGGATCGCCAAAGCTTGTGTTTGTTTATTAGCCTCCGTTTAGGAAGTGAGTTGACTTTTTGGCTTTTTAATTTTTTTGGCTATTTTAGCCTGGGCTAAAAAGCTTGGTTTGGGAAGGACTTTTTGGTTTTTTGACTTTTTTGACTTTTTTTTTGTGAGAGAATAGTGTAATGATTATGGTTTGGATGTGATGTTTTGTTTTTTGTGGCTAAAATAGTCTATTTTGTCTTTTGTGGCTAAAATAGCCAAAAAAACCTGAAAAAACTCTTCCCAAACGGACTCTTAGTCTTCCAATGCCGATGACGAGTTGTAATTATCAACACTCGACCGAGTCGGAGTTGACAAGTCCATTGTAAGTCAAACACTTTTTTCAAGAAAATAAAATACACTATTGTGATTGCTTATTTGAAATAATTTAAATCAGAAATGTTCTGAATTTTAAAAATTTTATCAAATCTCTCGTATAAATTGAACTAATACAAATTTATATATATATATATATATATATATTATGTGGATCTCATCCTTACGTAAGAAATTTGATAAAATATTTAGAATTTCTAACCTAATTCAATTTAAGTAAATGTATTTTTAAATTTTTTTATAAAACAAATAAATAAATAAATAACAGTTCCGTTACGTCGCTCGAAAACTTACCCCCCGAATCCCCCGAAATTGATAAAGGTGAGTTTTGAGATCACTGTCAATCTACCAACACCACGTGCGAAATAGAAGAAGAAAAGAGAGGAGAGGAGAGGAGAGGAGAGAAAGAGGAGCCCGTCGAAGAAGAATACCACTGAGATCGACCACCGACCTGGGTGACCACCGACGACCAGCAAAAAACTCTGCCGAAGTGACTGTGTTGTTCGGCATTTCTTCTTCTGAGGCCTCTGTTTCTTCTTCTTCATTCTGTTTCTTGTCCAAGGGTATGTCTCTATTTCTTCTTCTGAAATCTAGTTCATAGAATGCTGCTGTTTTGTTAGTAATGTATTTATTGATTTAGTAGTGGTAATCTTTGTACATAATTTTATAAAAACCTAGTTGATTTATACATAATTTTATAGAGGGAAATGTTTGAGAACTCGACCGGAGAGGGAATTATGTATAAATCAGCTAGGTATCATCAAACTCCAAAATTATGTTTATAGAAACCTAGTTCAAAAATGGTATTATCCACAAATGGATTTCTGAATTTGTGGACTAACCTAGTTCATTATGAATTTCTGTGCTATTCATCTATTTGTGGATTTCGTAAAAATGAATTTGTCGATTTCAGAATTTCTGTGTTGTTCATCTAATTGTCCAAAGACAATCAAGAAATCCATTTTTGTGGACTAACCTAGTTCATTCTGTTTCTTGTCCAAGGATATTATCCATTTTTGTAATTAAATGTGTCTCAATGTGCTCTTTGTTCTAAGTGACAGGTTCAAAACCCAGTTAAGTCATTATGCATAAGTTTTTTGTATGAACAGAACCTGTTTTGGACAAACTGTTTCACACTTTGCATTTGAGTTTGATGAACATAATTTGTGTATGAACAGAACCTATATGAACATAACCATAATTTATGAACAGAACCTGTATGAACATAATTTGTGTGATGTATACAAACTGTTTCACACTTCGCATTTGAGTTTGAAGGTACAATGGACATTGATTCAAACCATCCTACATTGAGTGGGGGTGAGGAAGTTGAGGAAGCAGAGAACAATCCTTCATTAAATGAGAGTGACGAAATTGAAGAACCTAAGAAGGGGATGTGGTTTACCTCAAAGCAAGAAGTTCACGAGTTTTATGCAAAATATGCTAAAAACCTTGGATTTGCTATAGCTTACAGAACACAGAATGTTAGATCGGATGGAAAGGTGAAATACTTTGGAATTGAATGTACTCGGGCGCAGAAGAGGACAAAAAGATCAGAAGTAAACCCCCTGAAACCATCTTTGTCATCAAAAATTGATTGTAAAGCTAGGATAAGAGCGATTTTACAACCAGATGGAAGATATAAGTTAACTACAGTTGTGCTTGACCATACGCATGATTTAATTCCTAGCGACTCACGCCATTTTCCAATGAATAAGAGGATTCGTACTCCTGTGAAGAGAAGATTAGAAATAAATGATGAAGCAGGAATAGGGGTATCTAGGAATTTTCATTCTATAGTTGTTGAAGCGGGGGGATATGAGGCATTAACATTTGATGAACGAGATGTAAGGAACCACATTGAAAATGCTAGAAGATTGAGGCTTGGGGTAGGAGACGCCGAATCAGTTGCATTTTATTTTCATAGGATGCAACAAGAAAATTCAAACTTCTACTCTGCAATTGACTTTGATGTAGATGGTCGCATTCGAAACTTGTTTTGGGCGGATGCAAGGAGTAGGGCGGCTTATAAAGCATTTGGGGATGTTGTCTCATTTGACGCGACCTATCTTACAAACAAGTATGATATGCCGTTTGCTCCGTTTGTAGGAGTTAATCACCATGGACAGTCAATCTTGTTTGGTTGTGGGCTATTATCTAATGAGAACACGGACACTTTTGTTTGGCTATTCAAAGAATGGTTGAATTGTATGTCAGCCACTCCTCCAAATGCTATTATAACTGACCAGTGCAGAGCTATGCAAAATGCCATACAGATTGTCTTCCCAGAGGCTCGACATCGTTGGTGTTTATGGCATGTAATGAAGAAAATTCCCGAGAAATTGAGAGGATATTCCCAATATGAAGCCATTAAATTCGCTTTACAAAGTGCAGTCTATGATTCTTTCAGAAAAGATGAATTTGATGAGGAATGACAAACGATGATTGAAAAGTTTAGCCTCCATGACAACGAGTGGTTGGGAGTATTATATGCTGAGCGACATAGGTGGATTCCTGCTTATGTGAAAGATATATTTTGGGCTGGCATGTCAACTACACAGCGAAGTAAGAGCATGAATGTGTTTTTGATGGCTATGTCAACTCAAAGACTACTTTAAAGCAATTTGTTGAACAGTATGACAATGCATTGAGAAGCAAGGTGGAGAAGGAGACCAAAGCAGACTTCAAATCTCGAGACAGATTGTATGATTGTTTAACGGTGTATGAGTTCGAGAAGCAATTTCGTGCAGCCTACACAAATGTGAAATTTAAAGAAGTTCAAGTAGAATTGAAGCGACTACTGTATTGTCATGTGAATCTTGCGAAGGAGGAGGGATCCATTTGTACCTATCATGTCAAGGAAGCTGTGCTTGTGGGTGAGAAAATGAAGAAAGTTGAATTTCTTGTTTACTTTAATTCAACTGAATTTGAAGTGCAATGTGTGTGTCGGTGGTTTGAGTTTAGGGGGATCATGTGTGCCCATTCCCTTAGTGTGCTCATTGAGAGGAGCATATATGAGGTTCCTAATAAGTACATTATGTCGAGATGGAGAAAAGATTTAGAAAGAGGGTACATATGTATTCCAACAACATACACGAAATCCGGGGCTGCCCTTAATGCAAAGGTACATGAGAACTACCACAAGACATTGGATGAAATTATAGAAATTACTTCCAACGATGATGGTAAACACAAAGCCATTCAATTTGGGTTGAGAGAAATCAAGGAAAGAGTAAGAAAAGATGAATCTCGTTGTGCGAGTAATGTGCCACCTTCTAGTAGTACTATCCCACCTTGTAGCAGTAATGTGCCACCTTGTAGTACTACTCGCAAGGTGCTTAGTCCTTTGGTTGCTCGCCGAAGAGGTCGTCCATGTACAAAACAGAAGGTGAGCAAGGTGGACGAAATAGTGAATCGGTTAAAGGGAAAGAATAAAAAGGCAACAAAAGTGCAGATATATTTTTAATTTTTTGCTTATATGTAAATTTCTAAATTTCTTTTTGTCTAACTTTGTCACCAATGTGTGTTACTAAAGGGTCGTAAGATGGGTCAATGTGAACCTCGTAAGTTGAATTTCGGTTGTACGGATGGAATGGAAAATAATATGTACGATCGGGTATGTGTTTCATGGTCCACTCAATTGGTTTTGTATGGTATTTATTTAAATGTTTGAACTTATTAATGATATTTTGTTATTATGTATCATAAGGTGCCAGAAGCTTAATCCTACTATTTTCCTTGTATGGACGGGACACAAGAGAGCGCATTGCAAATGGTGGACAAAGTTGGAAGCTCATCTTTGAGTGAATCAGGAATGGCGAATATAGATGGATCAACTTTTGTCGACTTCAATATAGATGTGGATCCAAATGCTCAATTTTTTTTTTAGTTTCGTAGTATGGAATTTGTAACACATGCTGAACAGATATTTTATTTTTTGAACTGGTTTTTCATAACACATGCTGAACAGATTATATTTTGAAGAAGTTATATTGAAACAGGTTCTGTATGTTTTTAACAGGTTATATTTGATTCTGAACAGCAGATTCTGTTCAAACAGGTTCTGCAGAATGTATTTATATTCAAACAGATTATGTCAAGATCAGTATGTTCAAACAGATTCTGTGAAGATCTGTATGTTCAAACAGATTCTGTTAACAGGTTTTTACAGATTTGAATGTGAATTTTTGGACAGATTCTGGAATGAATGTTAACAGGTTTTAACAGATCTGTATGATCTGTATTTTTGGACATGTACGAAACAGATTCTGAATTTTTGGACAGGTTTTAACAGGTTTTAACAGATTCTGGAAGATCTGTATTTTTTTTCTGTGAACTTGTTTTGAAAGGAGCAGAATGAATGTGACAAATTCTGTGTTTGGACATTCTGTGTTGTGTCACAAAATTCTGTGTGCAGCTTAGAATGAATGTGAATTCAAATTTGTTGGTTTGTGAATAGCAAATATGAATTCTATCCAGAATATGTGAATTGTAATTTGTTGGTTTGCCTAAATTGATTTTGGAGCTCTTCAAGGGGTCAGTTGGTGACATGGAAACTGATAGTTGTTCTCATACTAGTTCACATCAAGTAAGGTGTATTTTTCCTTTCTTGTTTATGTCCACACAGTCAAACTTAGCAGGTTTCTCAACACATTTATTTTGATAACCATAATTTTGAGCAAAACCAACATTTAAGTTTAAAATAAATTAACTTGACCTTCTCTTTTTCAGATGGAATTTGTCATTGAGACCTCTTCTTCATAATTCCTCTCAACTTTTGGTCATGCTTCTAATGTGTGCATCTATCTCTGATCAGCATAGACAAACATTCTTACACCTGAGTTTTTGAATGTTCAATTGCATCAACTAGTTTCAAATTTGTGAACAAATTTGCCATTCACAAACCAACCCGGTGAACAAATTTGCCATTCACAAACCAAGCAGGCAGTTAAAAGTTCTTCTTCCTACATCCCAACCTGGTGAACAGATTAAACATACACACATATTACATCCCAGCCTGTCACCAAATGTCATCCAACACACACACAGATTAAACACACCTAAGGTGAATCATCCCAACCTCATACAGATTAAACACAAACACGGATTAAACACACACATATTACATCCAACCGAATGATTATATAACATCAACCAAGATCCAAAGGCAAAAGTGAGATACAAAATCAAGATCCAAAGCCAATGACATAAAGCATCAAGTCCATTAAGTCCATAACTACATCCATCAAATTCCCTAAAAGCTATCAACTTAGTAATTTACATTATAAAATAGAAAATAATAAAAAATACAATGACATAAAGCATCACATTCAATTTCATCTCCACCCTTCAAAGCCTTCTACTATGCTCCTCAAATTCATTATCCATCTCATAAACCCTTGTGCTTCGATCGTTAAATTCTTCGCTTCTTATAGATGTACGAGGTGTAGCATTGAAGATCTCGTCGTCATCATTATCATCTGCAAACTTGAAGTAATTGCAGTGTTCCTCACTAACCTACAATGCATGACAATCAGTTAATCAAATGAGGCTAATAAATTTCCAAACAAATTTCCATACTGCTTACATATTTCGATGGACACACAAAGTACACACGGCCTTTATTTCCATTCTGATTTGACTTGACAGTGTGCCTGGCAGCTGTTATCCCACAATCGCACAATCTTCGTTTCAATCTTATGTTGCTATTGTTACTAGAGGAACAAGCCATTTTGTAATCTGCATACAGAATGGAAAACACAGACAAGATACATACAAAGCTATGTCCAAAATTTATATTTAGTTTTCCAAAATTCATATGAATTGAATGCAAAACCCATATGAATTGAATTCAATCCAAAGAAAATTGCAGTGTCTAAAACAAACATTTCCAAAGGCACTGCTATGTCCAAACCTCAAAATCAACTTTCGTTGCCTCATGAATTGGCCCGTTTGGTTCCGAAACCCAACAACATGCACTGAGTTTAGAGCACCGACAACCCATCCCAATATCAGAATTTGGAAGAAAACACCAATGAGTCTTGAAACTTCACACCAGAGATAACCAACAATCAAACCCAGATTCACATGCCAATCCAGTTAATCTCCTCTTTGAAGACCCATTTAAAATTTCTTGTGGTAGCAATTATTATTCCTAAACCAAATCCAGATCATCTCATGAAACACTTAATGATATAGTAAAACCCATGTTTGAATTGCTCTCAAAAAAAAAAAAAATACAAACCCACAAATCAAATATGCATATAGACCAATATAATTTGTAAATAGATAGAAGTAATAGCTAATCATTTGATACAAAAAATGAATCAAATGCTTAACTCAGAACATGTTCAAATCTGAATCTGAGTCTTAACAGAATGAAAATAGTTACAAAATTGGGTTTGGGGGATTGTTGCTATTTCATACCAAATATAAAAATTAAGAAGATGGAATTCATGCTATTTCATACATTCTTATACATTATTGAACCTGTTCTACTCTTTTCGGTTTCCTTTCAAACCTATATACATTCTGTTTAATACATTCCATACCACATATCACAAAATGCATTTAAACAGAATATATATAAACAGAATATTTACACCATAACAATCAGAAATTGGGCAATAAAACCAAAACCCTAATAAATATCACACTGTGCAGGACTTATCAACAACAATTATTTACACCAAAACCCTAATAATATCACAAATTGGGCATTACATAACAATCATAACAATCAGAAATCAACATAACATCTACGAAGTTTTGAAAGGAGCAGAATGAATGTGACAAATTCTGTGTTTGGACATTCTGTGTTGTGTCACAAAATTCTGTGTGCAGTTTAGAATGAATGTGAATTGTAATTTGTTGGTTTGCCTAAATTGATTTTGGAGCTCTTCAAGGGGTCAGTTGGTGACACGGAAACTGATAGTTGTTCTCATACTAGTTCACATCAAGTAAGGTGTATTTTTCCTTTCTTGTTCATGTCCACACAGTCAAACTTAGCAGGTTTCTCAACACATTTATTTTGATAACCATAATTTTGAGCAAAACCAACATTTAAGTTTAAAATAAATTAACTTGACCTTCTTTTTTTCAGATGGAATTTGTCATTAAGACCTCTTCTTCATAATTCCTCTCAACTTTTGGTCATGCTTTAATGTGTGCATCTATCTCTGATCAGCATAGACAAACATTCTTACACCTAAGTTTTTGAATGTTCAATTGCATCAACCAGCTTCAAATTTGTGAACAAATTTGCCATTCACAAACCAACTTGGTGAACAAATTTGCCATTCACAAACCAAGCAGGCAGTTAAAAGTTCTTCTTCCTACATCCCAACCTAGTGAACAGATTAAACACACACACATATTACATCCCAGCCTGTCACCAAGTGTCATCCAACACACACACAAATTAAACACACCTAAGGTGAATCATCCCAACCTCATACAGATTAAACACAAACACGGATTAAACACACACATATTACATCCAACCGAATGATTATATAACATCAACCAAGATCCAAAGGCAAAAGTGAGATACAAAATCAAGATCTAAAGCCAATGACATAAAGCATCAAGTCCATTAAGTCCATAACTACATCCATCAAATTCCCTAAAAGTTATCAACTTAGTAATTTACATTATAAAATAGAAAATAATACAAAATACAATGACATAAAGCATCACATTCAATTTTATCTCCACCCTTCGAAGCCTTCTACCATGCTCCTCAAATTCATTATCCATCTCATAAACCCTTGTGCTTCGATCGTTAAATTCTTTGCTTCTTATAGATGTACGAGGTGTAGCATTGAAGATCTCATCGTCATCATTATCATCTGCAAACTTGAAGTAATTGCAGTGTTCCTCACTAACCTACAATGCATGACAATCAGTTAATCAAATGAGGCTAATAAATTTCCAAACAAATTTCCATACTGCTTATATATTTCGATGGACACACAAAGTACACACGGCCTTTATTTCCATTCTGATTTGACTTGACAGTGTGCCTGGCAGCTGTTATCCCACAATCGCACAATCTTCGTTTCAATCTTATGTTGCTATTGTTACTAGAGGAACAAGCCATTTTGTAATCTGCATATAGAATGGAAAACACAGACATGATACATACAAAGCTATGTCCAAAATTTATATTTAGTTTTCCAAAATTCATATGAATTGAATGCAAAACCCATATGAATTGAATTCAATCCAAAGAAAATTGCAGTGTCTAAAACAAACATTTCCAAAGGCACTGCTATGTCCAAACCTCAAAATCAACTTTCGTTGCCTCATGAATTGGCCCGTTTGGTTCCGAAACCCAACAACATGCACTGAGTTTAGAGCACCGACAACCCATCCCAATATTAAAATTTGGAAGAAAACACCAATGAGTCTTGAAACTTCACACCAGAGATAACCAACAATCAAACCCAGATTGACATGCCAATCTAGTTAATCTCCTCTTTGAAGACCCATTTAAAATTTCATGTGGTAGCAATTATTATTCCTAAACCAAATCCAGATCATCTCATGAAACACTTAATGATATAGTAAAACCCATGTTTGAATTGCTCTCAAAAAAAAAAAAAAAACAAACCCACAAATCAAATATGCATATAGACCAATATAATTTGTAAATAGATAGAAGTAATAGCTAATCATTTGATACAAAAAATGAATCAAATGCTTAACTCAGAACATGTTCAAATCTGAATCTGAGTCTTAACAGAATGAAAATAGTTACAAAATTGGGTTTGGGGGATTGTTGCTATTTCATACCAAATATAAAAATTAAGAAGATGGAATTCATGCTATTTCATACATTCTTATACATTATTGAACCTGTTCTACTCTTTTCGGTTTCCTTTCAAACCTATATACATTCTGTTTAATACATTCCATACCACATATCACAAAATGCATTTAAACAGAATATATATAAACAGAATATTTACACCATAACAATCAGAAATTGGGCAATAAAACCAAAACCCTAATAAATATCACACTGTGCAGGACTTATCAACAACAATTATTTACACCAAAACCCTAATAATATCACAAATTGGGCATTACATAACAATCATAACAATCACGAGTGGTTGGGAGTATTATATGCTGAGCGACATAGGTGGATTCCTGCCTATGTGAAAGATGTATTTTGGGCTGGCATGTCAACTACACAGCGAAGTGAGAGCATGAATGCGTTTTTTGATGGCTATGGAAAATATAAACTCTATCCAGACAAACATTCTTACATAGACAAACATCTATCTCTGATGATTTGGTGTGTGCATCTATCTCTGATTCTGTGTTTGGACAAACTCAACTTTTGGTCATGCTTCTAATGTGTGCATCTATCTCTGATTAGCATAGACAAACATTCTTACACCTGAATTTTTGAATGTTCAATTGCATCAACCAGCTTCAAATTTGTGAACAAATTTGCCATTCACAAACCAACCTGGTGAACAAATTTGCCATTCACAAACCAAGCAGACAGTTAAAAGTTCTTCTTCCTACATCCCAACCTGGTGAACAGATTAAACACACACACATATTACATCCCAACCTGTCACCAAATGTCATCCAACACACACACAGATTAAACACACCTAAGGTGAATCATCCTAACCTCGTACAGATTAAACACACGCACAAGGAAGCTGCGCTTGTGGGTAAGAAAATGAAGAAAGTTGAATTTCTTGTTTACTTTAATTCAACTGAATTTGAAGTGCAATGTGTGTGTCGGTGGTTTGAGTTTAGGGGGATCATGTGTGCCCATTCCCTTAGTGTGCTCATTGAGAGGAGCATATATGAGGTTCCTAATAAGTACATTATGTCGAGATGGAAAAAAGATTTGGAAAGAGGGTACACATGTATTCCAACAACATACACGAAATCCGGGGCTGCCCTCAATGCAAAGGTACATGAGAACTACCACAAGACATTGGATGAAATTATAGAAATT